AAATTCTACAGAATTGAATTCCTTTATGCTATGTTCAGTAGGAAAGAAAAAATTAGATGGAAGGGAGATAAGACACAAGTCGTGTCCCAACTGTGTCCAACTGGAAAATAAAATGCGAGCTCACAATAAAATGTGTCCATCCAAAACCTCATGAGACATCCTACGAAAGAGATTATATTTTTCCTTCTTTTTGTAATAAGCTCACAATTTATTATGTTGGTTATGAGAGAGGGAAATATAATGTTTTAAATTGCTTTTGTATATCATTATTTTCAATAATATCTATAATATTGTAATTCATAGAGGATAATAGTGTAATTTAAAACTTAAGTAATTTAATTTAAAACTTCTATAAAATAGTTCACTTTTCTTTCCCTCTCTTCCATCCAATCCAATAATATTTATAATATTGTAATTCATAAAGGATAGTGCTGTAATTTAAAACTTTTGTAATTTAAGAGAGTATTTAATTTAAAACTTCTATAATAGTTTCTTCCCCCTCTTCCGCCCATTTTTGGACGGATGAAAATTTATAAAGAATGAGGGATGATCCATCATTCCTATTATCATTTCTTTCCTTATATCATTAAACAAAGAATTTTTTTTTTTTTTCCTTCCTATTTTCTTTCCACACTTTCTTTCATTCTTACCTAATAAAGCATTAGTTTTTTGTATTTAATAATTTTTAGTAATTCATTTTATTACCTTAATAAATTAATTAATAATATATCAGATATTCGGCAATTTTTATTTAAGTTATTTAACTTTGTGAATTTAAAATTGTTCCATCAATTTTTCATAACTTCTGCTCAATCAATTTCTGAAGTTAATTTTGGATGCCCGTCTAAGAGTGTTACATTGCTTATGATATCCATATTTAGTAACTGTTGGGCTAAATTCGAATGTTATTGGAATACCAATGTCCACATCATTCCATGAACCAAGTTTAATGTCACTAATTCGGACCTTTCCAAATTTACGTGTTGTATAAATACCTGACGACTTCTGGATGGGCCAACTTTAGGAAGGGCCGAAGATATACGGAGTTGACGGGTCGGGGCACCTTAGAAGTTTTGTTTGTTTGAATTCCAAAACTATAATATACTTTTTGCGGGATTAGATTAATCGGGACTTTCACACAGATTACAACCATAAAATGATATGGCTGTGCCTGCACATGCATGTGATCCCCTTAGTGATGAAGATATAAGGTCATGTTCCCCGACTTTGGTGATATTCCCCTTGGTGATTATGCAATTTAAATTTCAAATCCCACCAAACTAGTTATTTGTACGTATTTATATGTATTTAATGTGTGATATACACCATGTAATAATTTCTTTTAATTGAAAATAACATGCACTTGATAAACTCTCTTCCCCCTTTATATATATATATATATATATATATGTTGAGTGATAAAGATTTATATAATAAAGTTTTTCAACATGATTGCATATGGAACCCTGTTGAGAATCTTGACTAGGATGCATTTAGACAGAAACCAAAACTAAGAAGACAAAGTCTTCAATAATCACACGAGAAAAGCTAATAAAATACAGGAGAAGGACAAGCTCAGTAATCCAAATCCCAATGAAACTTTCACTTATCCCTTTACATCAAATTGGGTGCCCATAATTAAAATGGAAATATATGTGCTGGTCTCCCTTTAAAGTCTTGGTAGGTTTTTGACCTAGCTCTATATCTTGCATTGGTTGAAACCAAATTCTTAGGTAGATAAGACTCTACATTTTTATATCAAAAGAAGGACCGACCTTAATTTTAGGATATATCCGACCCTAGCCTTGTTTCTTCTACTCCTCAGTAACTAGTTACCTTTCACACGCACGCTTCACATCTCATTAGCCAAAAATTCTCTTCAGAGAATTTGAGATGCCATATCAGTCTACCCATTTGCCAAGTATATTTGATTAAAATAATGGTATACCTACTATCTAGCTATTAAGGTTGAATCCACAGTTGCAACACCTAAGTTTAGTATTTTTATTCGGAAACTAAATACACCACCACATGAATAATGAAGAGTATACAGGTGAAAAATAAACAATCGGCAGGTATTTTATGGAACCCTACTTTTCAGCAAATTTAGAATTATTGTCGTTGTTGTGTGATTATTTTTATGCAGAAAACATGGAATAAAGCTAGGATCATGTAAAGGTGCATATATATATATATATATATATATATATATATGTATGTATGGATAGTCAAATATATGCAATTTACTTTGACATATATGTATCTTTTCTTTGGTAATTATATTAGTTAGCGCCCACGGTTCGATTGTTTTTCTCCACGCACACACGCTAAAAAAGGCACGCCTAGATGTTGCTCTCACATGCCACCCAACATGGCTTCTCTTCTCTTCATTCATATGAAGACCTGCTTTAATACTCCCCATTAATTGTTAATATATTAATCTGCAAAAGGAGCAATCCTAACCCCGCAAAGAATAAATAAAATAAAATAATAATAATAGTAAATAAATAATTTTCAAAATAAAATAAAATAAATAGATATAGATGTTTTGGTTTGAGTAGAATTAATAATATTCACAATAAAAAATAGGAAAGAAGAGACGACCGTGGAACAGTCATTGAAGAACCTTTTTTTTACTCAAATTGGATGCACATGGCTTAGTAATGATATTCCTAATTAAACATCCCACTCTAAAAGCCTTCTATATAGGATTAGGTAACATGATCTCACATTAGAAATCCCTTTTATATATTCACCTCCTCACAACCATGCACCAAGTGTGTGTCTATATATATATATATATGTCCGGCCAACACTTTATTTCTATTTGTTTGGAGCTATCATTAAAAGTGATTGATATTTAAGAGGCCATATAGATACTCTGACACAAGAGAGGTGGAATGTATAGGATAAAATATGTCAATACCATGATTGAAAAGGTAATCAATCTAATGATAGAACAGAATTTGTAAGTATAGTAATCTATTGATCGATGAAATGTTTACTAGAGATGCAATTAATGATGTCGTTCTAATTTTAGCCGCAGAAGAGAAGTTTTAAATTGGAAATTCAGTCCAATGTATATATATATATATATATATATCTCCAAATAAATAAATAAATAAACAGTTGATACTACAAAATTGACTATTGTCAGTGATGTGTGTTAGAAAAAATTACAAAAACATGAATTTTTGGACCCCATTTTACATAGAAGGGCTTATTTTCACAAATGGGGAATCTCTGATGTCAATTATTGTAGGTCTTTTTTAGGGTTCGTAACTGATGTGGGTTCAAGTGTCACTTCCTTGATTAAAATTTCTAAGCAAAAAAATTGAAACCAGAAGGCATGCATTTGTAGGAGATATGTTCATGTCCACGAAGCAAAATGTAATTAAGTTCATGTTTTCAGGTTCTCGACTTCCCCTTTTAGAAGGTGGGTTTGTACGAGTTGTGGGCTATTGCCCATTTGGTAAACGGGTTCCAATAACCTACATCATATTATGTTTTTTTTTGCAAGGATCAGATAACAATGGTAAAACAGTGAGACGAAAACCTGCAATTATGTAAAATAGCCTAGATAGTTGTAAGAAGATGAAAACTGCATTCATGTCTTTAAAAGAAAAATGGATTAAGTGGAATTGAAATTAAGTTGTAATTAAAAGTTATACTAACTCAAAGGATGATGATCGATCCAGCTTGCTACTTCATTTTAGTTGAGATGAGATTTGTAGTACGTATCATGACAATCATGAGTTATTTGATCTATTTCATCTCAAATGTGTATCAAATGATGATGGCGTTTGGATGACTGGTTTGATGTAATTATAAGGTAATGATACCGGATAATTGCAAAGGCTGATCTCTCATTTGAAGTAATAATTGGACTGTGCATAAAGTCTTTGATCAACTTTTTGTTCCAACAGATGAGACCTTCATAAGTGATTCTATATATTTATTAATTAATAGATTGTGTACGGTGCATGCATGTAAGCTCTGTATATAGTTTTATATAAGATCACATGCATTCATGGAAGGATGAGCAAATTAAGAGGTACTATATATATATATATATACACGAATGATGTTAATATTAGAAATTCATTAAACGGTCATTGGAGGAAATCGTTTCTGATTGAATAAATGGAAATCTGATTGAGAATAATAATAATGGCAAAGCAATGCATCAAAGGAACATGATTAACAGTTAACATGCAAGGCTTGCAGTTTATTTTTCTTACATCTTCTTCGTCATTTAATTTATATAGAGAATCCCTACAAATTTTTCATGTTACTTGCCCAAAAAATTCATAGCATGTTGGCACAAATTATTATTATTATTTTTTCATAGTTTGTTGGCACTATTTACTAAATTACGTATAAAACTATTAAAAAAAATCAACTTTTGCTTAATTGAATGGGTAACCATAATGAATCATCTATATACATGCAGTAAATTAAAGGAGTAGTAGTGTTTGTGAAATAGTCAATAATGGATCCAAAATCAGTAATTTCATTAACCAGTAGTAGTATTATATAATACTATATATACATTAATTTTATGCTGGTCTGCGCAGGAAAATAAAAACGGGAAAGGACAAAAATGGGAAAGCAAAAGATGATTTAATTGTTAATTAATGGAGAGAGAGAAGGTTTCTCCACCTTTATTTAAACGACTCAATTACATGAAAATGGAAACATCCAATCCATCTACAAATTAAGCAACAAAAAAAACACCACTTAGCTACCCACCAACGTCCAAATTCACTTCACTCCAATAGTGTTGGTTTCCTTTGGATTAAAAGACAAATATATGGAAACGCTAGCAGCTTCTACTGTGGCTTTAATGATCAATACCTCATAATATCGATCCATCCATCTATCTTTCAGTTTTACAGTTCCTAACTTAATTAGTTAGCTAGCCCTTTCAGTAATTTGATATCTATCTGTCTCTTTCTAGATCCGTCGATTCATCTCTCATCAGCTAGAAACTAATTAATATGAATCACTCAGTGGCCAAGAGCAAAAAGAAGCAAACACAGCAGCAGCAGCAGGAAACAAGTAGCTGTAGGTTTCTGGGTGTTCGACGGAGACCTTGGGGAAGATATGCAGCAGAAATAAGAGACCCTTCAACCAAAGAGAGGCATTGGCTGGGCACCTTTGACACTGCGGAAGAGGCCGCTCTCGCCTATGATAGAGCCGCCCGCTCCATGCGTGGCTCTCGTGCTCGCACCAATTTCATCTACTCCGACATGCCACCTGGTTCTTCCGTCACCTCCATCATCTCCCCGGACGACGTTGAGGCCAACTTCTCTTCACAACTTTTCCCCCCTCCCTGCCAGCAACCGGTCACTGCAAACCAACTGATCATGACACTACCGCCGGTACCACACAATATTAATTCCACCACCACAACTACTACTACCACCCATTCCCATTTTTCATCAGGCGGATTATTATTCCAGCAGCCGGTGCTACTTCCTCAAGGCCATGGATGGCCTTCTTCCACTGATCTAATTTATGAACAACAACAACAACAACAACAACAACCTCTCCTTGACATTAATAATATTAATGCGTATACTACTACTACTGGTGTAGACTACCACCAACTGTATCAGTATGATGGGGTTTCCACGGATCTCCCTACTCTGCCTTTGGACGCCTCCTCCGCTACTTGTATTGGGTCGTCAAATATGCTTGATTCGGTTTCTGGGTATGATCCGGCCGGTCAAATGATTTGGAACGATCCAACAACGTCTCTCCTTGACTTTCCGGACACTACTACTACTACACCTATTGCCACAGTAACAACTACAACCACCACCGCCGATTTTGAACCGTCTGGTAGCGAATGCTATGTGGGATTTGATTCCAGCAATTATGTTCACAGCCCGCTTTTTGGTCAGATGCCATCAGTATCCGGTACAGATGGGTTTGAAGCTTTTGATTTGGGTTCTTCCCGGTATTTCTTTTGAACTGTTGGCATACAAATACTGCATATAATACCAATGACTAAGTTGGTATAATTTCTCCTCCCTCACTCCCTCTAAGAAGGTGAGGAATTCGTGTGCTAGTGTGTTGTTTTGGGTTAGGGGTTCAAATCCTTGCTTTAGCAACTCGTCTGTTTTTTTTTTTTTTTCCTTTCTTTTCTTATGATTGGATCCATGTGTTTTCTGGCCTAATTTAATGGAATTACTGATGTTAATATGATATTTGATTGACTCCACTACTATTCCAATGGTAAATTGAAACTACTCTTTTCTATCTTCACTGATCAAATTGATGTTTTGATTAATTAATGAATAAAAAGGCTGTTCCTCTCATTCAAGATTAATGAGTCAACCTTTACTTTAAAGTTTAAACGGTATTTGTTACCGATTGATAAATTTATCTTATTTTTTTCATATTTAAATTATAAAAAATTAACTATAACAAAAAAGGCGAAGAGTTATTATTATATAAAGAACTATGATACGTACAGTATTCAAAGAACAAATTGAATGAGTGAGCCGAACTGATTTGGCTCACTAATCGGTTTTGTTTCATCCGCTAACAAATCATTTTCTTTTACAAATGCTAAGAGCAGGGCGGAATATTTTATTATACTCGGAAATTTTGAATCAAATACACATTTTTCATGGGTTATCTCGGTTTAAACAAAATGTTCTAAATTTTAACAAATTTTCAACTATTATTTACAAGGCGGAGAACAATTATTTATTGGTACTGTATCTTAAAGATCTTTTAATTTCTGAGTCGAATGATCAAATGGCTTGCTTAATATACATTTTTTTAAACATATTTTTAGTTTATTAATAATATGATTAGTTTATAGTATGTTAATAAAGAAAAATATTAGCCAAGAGGAGGATGCATTCCAATTCTTAGAACAGAATTATAAGCACTCAGATGTGCTTATACATGCATTGAAGAGTAGGGAGTATTATATTATGTAAAGCACATCATTACTTTTCACTACATATTATGATACGAAATATAAATTACCAACATTCCCCTCTCTTGTCAAATAATGGATTTTATTTATTATTATTATTATTATTTAACACTATCAAATAATGGAATGTCTCTCGTTGGTCGTGAAGGTTCGACTTCCTGGCGTGTGTGCCTGAGGGCTTTTTCAATGGTAACTTGTCTCGGCTCCCATACTGAATACATAGCGTAGTTTTGAGTTTCCTTGTGTTCTTGAGTCTCCTTGGGATTGTGGCCTCTTGGGGCCTCTTTTTTGTTGGTCCTTGGCGTCTTTCAATCCAAAATATTTACTCATTATTTTATTATTATTATTATTATTATTATTTTTTTTTTTTTGTGACAGCAACCACACAAAAACAAATTAACAAACCCTCAAACTGAGCCAACAACATCACGCTGCTGCCAAAAGCTGAGATATGAAAGGAGGGACTGAATGGAGCACCAAATCCTCCTCCATGTCAACACTCGAGAGACCAGCTAGAGCATGGGCCACCTTATTACCTCCCTTTCGAACATGCACAAAAGAAAACGAAGAGTAAGCGTGCAACTCCTTCCGGAGCTCAGATACCAAAGGTAAGCACGCACCATCACCATATCGCATTCCCGCAATAGCTTCCACCACCACCTTAGCATCCGTCTCAAAACAAACATCATGAAAGTTAAAAGATTTGGCCCAATACACAGCACGAGAAAACGCAAAAACCTCAGCTTCGCTTACGGATAAAGAAGAGACCGGTTTAAATATCACTGCTTGAAGAAACGATCCATCAGATCTCCGAAAAACCGCCCCTCCACCGCCTAACAACGAGGCATTTTTAAAGCTAGCATCCACGTTATAATTAATCATACCAGGCGACGGGTGTGTCCAACGGTTAGAGGACACAAAACAACTCATAGAAAATCAAACGCTTGGCATTTTTTCTGCACACGTAGAAATTTTCACATCTGATCCGTAGCTAGATTAGCCACCACCAAAGGATCCCAAACTTCTTTTTCAAATACCATTTTGTATCTAACCTCTAAATCATCCACAAACAAAAAGCAGCCAACCCTCTCACTACCTTGTTATTTTCCATGGAAATCAAATAAACTCTCGAAATACTCTCCCACCAACCAGTAAAAGACAAAGGAGAATGCTGAGAAAAATCCCAATGAAGAGGTGTGAGCTTCCATACTTGGACGGAGTGAGTGCACCGGAAAAAAATGTGAAGAAAATCCTCAACCTCCAACCCACACCTCGGGCACACCGGATTCTTCAAGCAATCTCTTCGAACTAACTCAGCCCCTGTAGGGATAGCACCATAGCAACATTTCCAAATAAAATGCTTAACCTTAGAAGGCACAGACAAGCTCCACAACTAACTCCAAAACTAGCTAGACACTTGTCCCTTCCTGCCCCCTCTCGACTTAATTCAAATTCGGACAATAAAGAGATACAGCCAATTGGTAGACGAACTTAACAGAAAAACGGCCTGAGGCATCTGTTGAGAAACGTGCAAGTTTTAAAAACTTTCTGAGGGATTTTCATACATAGATCTTAATTCATCACATAGAGACAAGTTTTATGCAAAAATAAAATATGATGTATCATTCAATTAATAAATTAAAAACTTACATTAAGGTTTAAGTAAACCTTAGATCTCTTCTCTAAAGTGAATGTTCTCACTTATTGTAGATCCCTTTGCTAGATGCCATCTCATTGGATCTCCATCTTCTCGGTAATAGTTTTGCCTTTAGGAATCACCCATAGGCCTCCATGAATGACCTTGGAAAACTAGACTTGTGGGAGCCTCCATTAGATGAAAAAGCAAACCCTAAAATCTAGAGAAAGAAAAAAAAAATATTCTGTTTTCTTTTCTTCTAAAAGTCTCCACCTAAAATATACATGGACCTGTTGGGATTTATATGCCCTGGCATAGCAATTCCTGTTTGGATTAATTGACATATGTTCCTGACGTTTCTGAAATATTTATGTTTTATACAATTGGTGAATTCAATGTATTATATTTCGATTCACTATGAAATTAATAGTGTCCATGTAGTTACAAGAAATATTTATGTATATGTATGTGATGGCAATCAATGCATGATATATAAATAGTAATTATAAATTGTTCTTAGTCGGTAATTATGGATGGACTCATAATTAATTAAGACTTGAACTGGATCCGCGTTAGGTTGAGATATATTGCGAGAGCCGTCGTATGCAATTACTCCCTATCACCATCATGGCATTTGACTCTTAAGCATGAGAAAAGTATAGACTCTTTTATTAATTAATAATTACTTTGATTTGTTCGGCGAATTCTTCGGGATCCTTAGACCGACACTTCGGGTAGTTATGTAATTAATAGTTAGAGGGTTATATTTTCAATATTTGCATCATTGCTACTTGTATTTATTTTGTATTGATTATGGTTGATCACAAAGTAAATTCGAAGGCCTTCGTATAATTTTAGACAAAATGATTTATTATATATTTATTTATTAAATTATTATTTTTGTCAAACAAATGTTTTATTGTGATCGAGCCAGAAATAATCAAAGGTACCAAAATAAATATATTAATTAAGTAGTCGGATTGATGGCATTATTTATCCGATAACTAATTATGCATAGAGGGGTCAAAGTGCAACATTGACTTAGAGGTTATTTATTATTTAATTGGAGTTCAATTAATTTCTTTTAGTGGAGTAGAAATTAATTTATGAATTAATTGAATTGGGTCCATGGACCGGGCCAATTATTAATTCATTGTAGCCAATAAAATAATAGGCCCAATGGATTCTCACTCATAGCCCAACTTGATATTGGAATCATATTAGATTTGAGACATATGAATTAGAGATGGAGAAGGATTTGTTGTTTCCTTTTCTTTATTTTTATGTTGCCTATAAATATACATGGTCTATGTATATTTTAGGGGGTGATTTTTATGAGAAGGAAAAAGGAATAAATTTTCTCTCTCTAGAAAATTAGGGTTTATGTTCTCATCTAATGGAGGCTCCCACAAGCCTAGTTTTCCAAGGTCATTCATGGAGGCTTATGAGTGATTCCTAAAGGCAAAACAATTACCAAGAAGATGGAGATCCAAGGAGAATGCATCTTGCTAAGGGATCTACAATAAGTGAGAATATTCACTTTAGAGGAAAGATTTAAAGGTTTACTCAGACCTTTTGATGTAAGTATTCAATCCATTAATTGAATGATACATCATGTTTTATTTTTGCATAAAACTCGTCTCTATGTAATGAATCAAGATCTATGAAGTTAAATCCCTCGAAAAGTTTTTAAAACTTGCACGTTTCCCAACAGTGGTATCAGAGCATGGTTTGATTCATTACTAGAGATCATGATTTTATGAAAATCATCATTCATGGATCCAAAATTATATTCATATATATTTTTTTGATGTATGTTGATGTATGATTTAATATGTTGATATATATTGATACATAATGATGTATGAATAATTGTGAATGAATGATGATGTATGGTTGGGCCATGGATGAAGCTTATAGGTTAAATTAATGTAATTTTATCTTTGGATGAATGTAATTAAGGCTTTGATTTAGCCGTTTGAAAGTTCAATGATGTAATTTAATTTTTTCCATTGTATTTCAAATTGTAAATATTTTTAAAGCCATGTAATCTTCGTCAAAGGATGCTATGAAGCTTCAAGAAGGTCCAAAAGGGTTAAATTATGCTTCAGTAATTTTCTGGAATTTTTCTGAATTTTTTGGAATTTTTCTGGAATTTTTTGAGGCTTAATTTAATTTTCTGGGAATTTTTCTGATTTTTCTGAAATTTTTCGGCGTTTTTCCGGTGGCCGGAGCATCGCCGGCGGCGAGAAGGGCGTCGGAGAAGGCTGGGATCAGATGTGGTGCAGGTGGGATGAGCCTGGAGCGTGAGGAACACGCGCCAGGAGGAGACATATGCTGGCGCGTGCATTGCACGCGCCAGCTAAGGTGGTATAGCCTCCACG